CAGAGGCGTAGACCCGACCTATCAATGGATATGACACTCTTCCCGGGGCTCAGACCGGAGTCGTCGGCTTCGGGACAAATTCAGGGGTCAGTGAATCGATTGACTACTCAAGAGATTCAAGACAGAGACACACAGAGGCGGCAAATTCAATACCTCCTGAGCCGAGGGTATCGACCGGAAAGCGGCCGCTTTACGCACCCGTCTATCAGACGTGGCGCCCGAAGTGGTTCGCCACAGACTACAAGCGGTGAACACACTTTCGGCCGATCGGCGTTCAGCGCCAGGGGTTGGGGCCGAGACGGGAGGCCACAAACTTATGAGGATGTGTTGTACCCCAGAACTATTCCCACTTATCAAGAGATGAGAACGAGACGATTGGCCGACAGAAACCTATTGACGCACTTTACATATCGGCCTTTCGGACAGTGGACTCCGGAAATGAGGCGTCGACGTGAGCCAACTCAGTCCACCACCACTTCCCTAACCGGTGGTTATGACACTGAATACAGACACAGACCCGATACCAGACAAGCGCGCAGAGAGCAGCTCCTGAATCGCGCCCGACTCCCACCCGTCACTCCCCGTATTCCCAGTGTATTGACCGATACTATACCCGAAGAGGACTGGGAGGAGAGTGGTTGACCCGAAGTACGAAGTAGTGGGTCTACAGTAGGTTTTTATACTTCAAAATTCAAGTGATATTTGAATTTGTTTTTTGTGAATAACTGAATAAAACCAGTTCTCTATTATCTAACCCTCGTTTAAGCGAAAGATTACACACTATTAATGAAGTGTTGAAATGTGTTTAAATCATAATAAAATCATAATAAATATCCACAACTTATATACGAGATATCACTAAAAATATCTGCCAAAGAGTATATTACGTTAGGCTAACGGCGAATGTTATTATGGTTTGAATTCTCTCTCATTGTGTTCACGAATAACGAGGACGAAGCGGACGATCTCGAGGAATGATCGGAGCAGTAGTTATCACTATATCTCAAGTATTCATTGGCATTGAATTTAGTGGAAATTGTGTCCAAATTCATTAATTAAACGGGAAATTCATAGAAATTGGTTTTGGATTTTATTGAATGTTTTATTGTAATGATATTAATTATAATACCATTCATCGAGTTTTGAACACTGATTAGTGTTTTGTTATTTATTAAACCAAATAAAACAAGAAATTAAAAATAATACAATTTTGTTTTATTGATAAATATAACCAAATTGGGGGAGGGGGCGAACGATCCTAGAAACCACATTTTTACATATAAATTTTGGTTAAAAATTAAACAACTATTTTATAAGTTTTTATTTATTTAACAATAATTTTCTAAAAATAAACAAAAAAAAATTAAACACATTAAAACTCAATGAGAATCACTTTGAATCACAAACTGATTCAAAGAGAAGACTTAAAACCGATCACCAAATGTCGGACCCTTCAGCCAATGGCGGTGAGAGACGGAGTGTACGCAATCTGGTCGGTGATTGGGAGCGCAGGAGTAGCTCCGGGGGTATGGGAGCGCGCAGTTCATCGAACGCCAGTCTACCGGCCAGACTGAACCGTCAGTGGCCACCGCCCGGAACTCCAGGCGCTACTCCGGTCAGTACAGGTGGTCAGAGAACGGTTGGTGGCGCCGGAGTGTCGGGGCAAATGAGACGGGCGGAGTGGGGCGACCGGTTCGGGCCAATACCTATTGTGCCCACAGCGCAGGCCGGGTCCGCACAACCGGTGGATTGGATTAACACCACATATACACCGAATCGGTTGCACACGAGAACTGCCACAACAAACACATATCTGATGCGACGGCCGATCGCATCGCAGAGTGCGTACGACTACGACGAGGGGGAAGACAGGGACTACGACAGGGAGAGGGCTCGCAGACCATTACCGCCCCCACCGACTGGTGAGGAGCTGTTTATGACAGTGCCGTCCGGTGTGCCGGCGCTTCCGCCGCGTGCCTACCCTTACGATTCGAGAGCTCCGCGTCGTTTTGTGGCCTCCATGAGGGACCCGAACACCGGTGAACCCGATTGGGAACGTATGCGCGCACAGCAAGTATTTGAACCCAATCTGTCAATGGATATGACACTCTTCCCGGGGCTCAGACCGGAGTCGTCCGGTTCGGGACACATTCAGGCGGCGATGAATCGCTTCAATATTCAGCACCAAATTCCTGAGAGAGACCGCAGATCGCGACAAATTCAGTACCTCATGGACAGAGGCTATCGACCGGAAAGCGGCCGTTTCACACATCCAGCCGTTTACGCCGGCGCCCGAAGGGGTTGGCCACAGGCCACTGGCGGTCGACACACTTTCGGCCAATCGTCGTTCAGCGCCAGGGGTTGGGGCCGAGAAGGGAGGCCGCAGGCGTTCGGCGATGTGTTGAGCCCACGAACTGTTCCCAGTTATCAGGAGCTGAGAGCGAGACGATTGGCCGACAGAAATGCTGAGATCAGTCGGCAATACAATGCGTACGAACCGCACATTCAGCGAGAGTACAGTCGATACTCCACTTCCCGGCAGTGGACGCCTGAAATGAGGAGACGCTCCCCAATGCCGTCGACCACCGCTTCCCTGACCGGTGGTTATGGGTTTAGACCTGAGTTCAGACACAGACCCGACACTAGACAAGAGCGCAGACACCAGTTGAGCGAACGCTCCCGACTCCCACCCATCACTCCCCGTAATCCCAGTGTATTGACTGATACTATACCCGAAGAATACGAGCTGTAGGCCAACGGACAAGTAGTCATCGCATCAAAAGCTCATTTAAAATTTATATTAGTTTTGAAGACAAGACACAAATAAACCTAATTTTAGAAATCAGTGTTTTATTATAAATGAATGAAAATTAATATTTACATAATTTAAATGTGTTTTGATCACGTTTTCTTATGTTGGTTTATGGCTTAATTCCATGTCATTGTTTTAAAAATACATTAAATGTACAATATTTTACATCAAATGTTCAACAAAACTAATTTTATTTAATTGCGTCAATACTATTGAAGTATTTTCTAATCGGTGTTATTTTGTGATCTATTTTTCAGTGATTCTTCAGATTAGTTCTTCAAAGAGTTTGTGTCCACTTGTGTTGACCCAACACAAGTCACATCAACTATAATTGTTTTGAAATTATATATTTTACATGAGATTTTACTTGTTTGTAATTCAGTTTTCATTTGTTTTGTTATTATTTGTTGCAATTGTTTGTAAAAATATTAATTTAGTAAAAATAAAACAAATTTTAACTGTAATAATTGACATATGATTTTATATATTTATATTTGTCTATATTAATTACACAAATTTTAGGTCAGACACAAAATTAAAAATGTATTTAACAATCAGTAAAAAAATTAGCAAATTTAAAAAACAACAAATATATGGAAAACTGATCGGTAATGAAAAATTAAAACAGATTGCCAAATGTCGGACCCGTTTGAAGGCAATGGCGGTGAGAGACGGAGTGTACGCAATCTGATCGATGATTGGGAGCGCAGGAGTGGCTCCGGGGGGTCGAGTGCTTCATCCACCCCCAGACCGGGTCGACTGGACCGCCAGTGGCCGCCACCGCCCGCCACAACTACAGGTGGTATGCAAACAGTTGGTCAAACCGGAGGGCGGAGGAGGGGTCCGGGTTTTGGTAATTGGACGCCAGACGAGGGCTGGACCGGTCAAACATGGGATGCGATGGCTGCCACATATCCCTACTCGGGTCAAGTAGATAGACATACTTACTCTACAAACACATACATTACGCGGCGGCCCATCGTATCGACCGGTGATTACGCGATGGACAGGGAGAGGGCCCGGAGACCAATACCACGGCCAGCGCTCGGCGCGCATACAATACCGCCGCGAGTGCCACAACTGCCGCCGCGTCCGTATCCGTACGACCCGAGAGCACCGCATCGTTCAGTGGCCGACATTAGGGACCCGAATATCGGTGCACCCGATTGGGAACGTATGCGCGCATATCAGAGGCGTAGACCCGACCTATCAATGGATATGACACTCTTCCCGGGGCTCAGACCGGAGTCGTCGGCTTCGGGACACATCCAGGGGTCAGTGAATCGATTGACTACTCAAGAGATTCAAGACAGAGACACAAAGAGGCGGCAAATTCAATACCTTCTTAACCGAGGGTATCGACCGGAAAGCGGTCGCTTTACGCACCCCTCTATTAAACGGGGCGCCCGAAGTGGTTGGCCGGTGACCACTCGCGGTGAACATACTTTCGGCCAATCGGCGTTCAGCGCCAGGGGTTGGGGCCGAGACGGGAGGCCACAGACTTATGAGGATGTGTTGACCCCCACAACTATTCCCACTTATCAAGAGCTGAGATCGAGACGATTGGCCAACAGAAATGCTGACATCGCTCGACAATACAATGCGTACGAACCGCACATTCAGCGTCAATACACAACTTCCCGGCAGTGGACGCCCGAAATGAGGAGACGATCCCCAATGCCGTCGACCACCGCTTCCCTGACCGGTGGTTATGACACTGAATACAGACACAGACCCGATACCAGACAAGCGCGCAGAGAGCAGCTCCTGAATCGCGCCCGACTCCCGCCCGTCACTCCCCGTAATCCCAGTGTATTGACCGATACTATACCCGAAGAGGACTGGGAGTAGAGTGTGGTTGACCTGACCTTCAGTTGATATTTGGATTTGTTTTTGTTTTTAAATAACTGAATAAAACCAGTTCTCTATTGTTTAAACTTTTGTTTAAGCGAAAGATTACACACTATTAATGAAGTTTTGAAATTGTGTTAAAATCATGTGACATTTACAATCAATAATAGCTAAAGTAATGGTTAACATAACTAACAAATAACTAACATTATTACAGTAAGTGTTTTTAAAGCATTAAATAAAACAATAATAATTATATCGTTAATTACTTTACATAAAGTCAACCCATTTTTAAGTTAACAAGACTTTCAATTTTTTCGGCCGCTTTTTGAAGGCTATCGGAGTTAAGCATACGTTTTGAAGCCATAGATAATTTGTGTTTCAATTCTTTGTTATTCAATAGCTTTTCAATTGAATCCAATAATTGCTGTTCTGAACAGTTGTGAGGATTAAGTCTAATCCCAAATCCCTTTTCATGAACTCTCTGTGCGTTATCGTATTGATCGGCAAATAACGGCATTATTATCATTGGTTTCCCGAAACTGAGTGATTCGGTCACAGAGTTGTTCCCGCCGTGTGTTATGACCACATCTACTAATGGCAGCACTTTTGTCTGCGGGACTGAGTTCTCGCCCCACATATTGTCCGCCAATTCATATGTGTCTCCGAGAACTCCCTTCGAGACAATAATCTTGTGCTGACTTTTGCTGAGAATAATCATTAATCTGTTCATTAAATCCAGATTTGCTGAACCCATAGAACCCAAAGAGAAATAAATTAATTTACTTTTCTCTACATCTCTGTCACGGAATTTATCGGGAATTTTAAACTCTTGTTTCTCTCCTCTTCTCATGAATGCGTCGACTCTTAAATACTTGTCAGGAAGTGGTCTGATATCTGTGTAATCGAGTTCTTCAGGAAAGCCATAGATATTAAGATGCGGTGAATCTGACATCGATTTGTTCTCAGTATTCAGGGGAAAGCCTTCCGCTTTCATCCACTCGTTATACATAATACTTCGTGTTTTGTGAGCATCCCTTACGAGTTGACTGAATTTCACCCATTCTTGTCGATCACCATTTGTAGGATAGCCTTCATTCAAAATATAAATACAATTAGATTACAACTGAAAATAAATAAAAGTCAATTTACCGGAACCATTGGGTGGAGTCCTGTCATCATGTATTACACACAACGGATTACTACTACACAACAAAACCCATGGTTTGTTTGAGTGGATTAGTGTCGGAGAGCCGGCGAAGTCATCGATGATATACACATCGGGATTATGTTTGGCTATAATTGCTTTAAGCTGTGGTTCATTGGCTCTCATTTGGTCGAGCATTACCTGAAAGAACGGCCAATTCATCAAAAGTGTCATAGATTTATAAGAGGTGTCGGCCGTCAAGAGTCCCGACTCGAGTAAACTTTTGGCCAGACTTTCTCCCGGCTTTTGGCCTTTGGTTTCCTTTGAAGCAAAAATCTCTTCAACGAAACCAAATGGCGATAACTTTCCCGCATATGACTGGTCGACAGCGAAGACCACTTTGTGGCCCCGACTGATCAGTACTTCAGCCAAACCTATGCAGGCATTTACGTGTCCCACGCCTTCCATCGGCGCAAACAATATCGTTAACTTTTGTACCATTTCTACAACTTATAAATATATTTAACAATAATATAATTATAACTCTTTATAAAAGCCTAATGTAAAGTTTATTTTACAGTTTAGAAAATTATTAATATATTCCGTCAAATATGTTAAGCTTTTATGGCAAAATAACATAATAAATAGTACTGTTATAACTTTTACTTTAAGTGCTTAAATATTTTCATAAAAGTTTGATTTTAATCAGAAACAAATATTGATAATTAAATGATAATTATTAAACTCTACTAATTCAATTTGTTTGTATTTTGTATAATCTAGAGCATTTCCATTTTAGTGCAGGTCATTTTTAACACAAATACTCATTATATAGCTTTTGCAACAAAACAGTATAAGATTATAATGATAAAACGTATACAATTTTAAATATCTAACCAGTCAAATGAAAGTGTCGCCGCGGTTTTTGTGATTACAGCTTAACTAGAAGTGCTAGATCAAATCTGTAAAAAGTAAAATGAAGGTCCACATGTCTAGTTTTTTGTATTAAAAAATTATTAAAATCACGTGACCACAACACAG